ATCGCATTGTGTTGCATTGTATTGTACTGTATTGTATTATGTCATCATCTAACTTGTTCTATGAGTACGGGCTGTCCTTATCTGAGCAAAACACCTTGGAGTTTTCGAGCGAAGAACTCGTGCTTGCAGCAGAACACCGCTCGCGTAGCCCTGCCGGCTAAAGCCTAACCCGGTCAGCCCCGAACCTACAGCCACAGCCTTATGCAGGGTTGTCCTAGATTAGCGTTTGTTTGAGTGTTCCTGCTCAAATCTTAAGATATAAAGATCAAGAAGACTTCGTCTGTGCAACAAGGGCTTGGTTCGCTTCCTTGACCGACAGATGTCCGCGAATAAAACTAAACCATAGGGGCCTGAATATCCAGCGATAGCACTCCTACAGCTTCCTTCGTAAAGTTGTATCAGAAAGCCTCGTCCTGACATCCTGGTATCGGTATCATTATCACCCTAAACCCTAAACATTATAATCTGCCCAAACGGCCCAATCCAATGAGTTAAGGAAGACCCTGGTTTGGATTCCCCCTTCCCCCCTCCCCCCTTCCCCTTCCCCCCAAAAAAACCGAAGCAAGCATATGGGTTTAGGGTTTGGAGCTTCTCCCCCCCCCTCCTCCAACAACAAAGAAAGCCCTACGGACGAGAACATTTCCTGCATCCGTTCCTGGCCCTTTTTGGGGTTCCCCCAGCTGCTTTACACAGACTTTCACCCCAAAGATCCTTATGACAATACTTGCATCGTTCCACCATCTCCGAAATACAAGATGCAAGCAAAGCTGAGAATTTGGTGGTTTAGTAAGTTCAGTAGTTTTCCCTTGAGCCTCGGAACTTGAAGCCTACCAAAGTTGCCCCAAACCCTGAAACCTACACCCTCAGCCTGAGGCCGCGCGATTTGATTTTGGGAGCCTCCTCCCCTCCCATCAGCCGTTGGACCTGACGTGCCAGGATCTCACTCTGAGTTAGTGTTATTCGGGGTTTCGGAGTATATAGCAGGTCACGTGAGAGTTTAAGAGTTCTGGGGGTTTAGGTTTTAGGGTGACTTGACACTGTCAGATCCGAATGAACCCTAAACCCTAAACCCTGATCCCTGCACCTGCAGGCCGAGACGCTCATCCCTGCGCAATCAAAATCCTAATCCTTAGCAGTAGAGTAGGTAACTATGAGCCTTTCTGGGGTATTATTATCCCTATGTATTCCCAGAGGTTAACTTTTCGTTCCCCTAGGCATAAACCCTAAACCCGAAACCGGTAGCCCTACGATACTGTCAGGAGCCAAAGAAGAAGCACCCAAACATAAACTTTTAGGTGGGATATCCCTATCTTCTTGGCTTAATTAAACAGGGGATTCTGGGATATCCCAGCCTTATGGTTCTTGTTGAGGTTCTTTTCTGGGTCCCTATACTGGGCAACTAAGCAACTCACCTGGACCTAGATCTGACCCCTCGAAGCCTACCCAGAGAGCCCAATACCCCTTACCCTACCACCCTCACACAAAACTTGTTTCCTAAAACCCTAAACCCTTTTTGAGAAACCTCTTACTACTGTAACTGTTTCATAACCCTCCAGAGTGATCGTTATAGAAACCGCATAGGAACCCTGATAAGAGCCCTTCAAGGAACCTCTTACAGTAAACCCCATAAAGTTGGAAACCGGACTAAGGGCCAAATAGTGCTGGGATTCCCTATACTTTACTCTTAATTGTTGAGGCTATTGGGTTTCCAACTTTGGGGCTTCTACTGTAATCCTTGAAACAAGAAGCCTTACCTAACCCGCCCCTTCAAAAGTAGGTAGAATAATGGCCCAATACCTGTAAAAGGCCATTATTCTACATACTTTGGGGGTCCAGGTAGTGATATCTACCAGTTTCCCTAAACTCTAAACCCTGAACCTTTCGTGACTGTAGAGTCGAGTGGAATTCGATATCTACCTTAAATGACCCCCGTCTATGAGCCGCTTTTGCACAGGACGACTTCCCGGATTTCGAGGCCAGCTTCGCGAGGCAAGCGGGAAGATTTATGGCTTTGGGGTTTAGGGATTTAGGGATTAGGGGTTTTGGGATTTAGGGGTTTTGGGTTTAGGGGTTTTGGGTTTAGGGGTTTGGGGGTTTAGGGGTTTTGGGGTTTTGGGGTTTAGGGTTTGGGGTTTTGGTGTTTTAGGGGTTTTAAGGTTTTGGGGTTTAGGGGTTTAGAAGGAACCTATCTGTTTAAGGACAGGACCTATTTTTTGAACTCATTGTAAGGAACCCTGAACAGGAAGGTTTTATAGGGTCCAGGTAGGGTTTCAAGGGCTAAGCTTTGGGTTTAGCGACTATAGGTTAGAAGGTGCCCCCACCCTGTAATCGTGGTATAATAGGAATATGATAGGGCCCTAATATAATCCTATATAATCCTTATGGTCACTACGGTTGATGATATAAATCCTGCATTACCCATAATAAGGAATATACCATAATTCCCTTAGTTTAGGGCCCTTAAGGTAATGCAGGATTTATATCATCAACCGTATTACAGGGTGGGGGCCCCTTCTAAGGTATAGGCTTCAAGGGCTTAGAGTTGAGGAGTTGGGGATCAGGGCTTCGGATTCGAAGGGCCGCGTGTCCAGGGTTTAGGGAGTATATGTTAGAAGGTGCCCCCACCCTGTAATAGTGGTATAATAGGACTATAATAGGGCCCTACTATAATCCTTATAGTCACTATTACAGGGTGGGGGCAGCTTCTAAAGTATATGGTTTGAGGGGGTTGCGCTTTTTTGTTTACGGATTTTTAGTGTTTAGGGTTGACAGGTTATTCAGGTTGCTTTTGGTTTGAAGGGTTTGGGGGGCTTTGGGTTTTCACCACTGTCGGTTCTTCGAGCGACGCTGTCGTTCAGGTTTTGCTCCTTTCAGCATTTAGAGTAGTGGGTGAGGGTGGAGGGCTTCGCCAGACGCCAAGCCCGGAACCCTCAACCCTACACCCTGTAGTGTTCCCAAAGGGTCCAAGTACCACTACGTACCACTATAGGAGGTACTTTGCAGAATTTTGGGCCTCCCAAAATATACTAGACTATTACTTGGACCATTTGTGGTTAAGGGAGATCCCTTCAAAGGAGGCCCCCAAAAACCCCAAAGCCCTAAACCCCCTTCAAGCCCTAAACCCTGGACAACCCTCTAGTGTTACGGCCCCCCAAAATGCGCCATAAACCTGAAGTCCTAAACCCTAAGCCCCTAAACCCTGAAAAACCTCCTAGTGGTAAGGGAGCCCTAAACCCTAAACCCTCAACCCTAACCCTGCACCCCGAAACCTAAACCCAAAACCCTCAAGCCGAAACCCTAAACCCGAAACCCTAAACCCTACACCCCGAAACCCTAAACCCTCAACCCTAAACCCTCAGCCGTAAACCCTCAGCCCTGAATCGTAAACCCTCAACACTAAACCCTCGACCCTGAACTGCCGAGAGCGCCGCTGACCATTTGCATGGCCGCTCGAGGCTCCGACCGAGACGAGACGGTGAGGGAGGGTAAAGCCTTCCCGGTTTACCCCAAACCCACAACCAATGCTTTTTGGGGGTCTGGCTCCTCCCTGCCCTCGGCTACCCTGCCGCCCTGCCCTGCCCTGCCCTGCCCTGCCCCGCACCCGCCCTCCTGCGCCATGCCCTGCGCCCTGCCCTGCCCTCTGCCCTACTACATGCTGACGCAAGCGCGCCATAAGTGGGTGCGCCCCTATAGAAAGCGCACCACCGTACACTGTTACAAATCCTCAACCCTAAACCCTCAACCCTCAACCCTCAACCCTAAACCCTCAACCCTCAACCCTCAACCCTAAACCCCTAAACCCTCAACCCTCAACCCTCAACCCTAAACCCCTAAACCCCTAACCCCTAAACCCCTAAACCCTAAACCATCAACCCTAAACCCCTAAACCCCTAAACCCCTAAACCCCTAAACCCCTAAACCCCTAAACCCCTAAACCCTAAACCATCAACCCTCAACCCCTAAACCCCTAAAGTCATGGCCGCGAGCGCGACCTAGTCGTGAAGCGGCCCGCGATCGATCAGAGAGCCGCTTAGGCACATCACTGCAGAGGGTAAAGCCTCTGCAGCCTCTCATTCTCGGCAATCACCCACTGACGACTCCCTATAAAGCTCAGACCCTAAAACTTCATACCCAAGTCGTTTGTGGCACCTAAAACGCTAAATCGCTAAAATCCTAAAATGCTAAGCCGCTAAAATCCTAAAACGCTAAATCGCTAAACTCCTAAAATGCTAAGCCGCCACAATATCCTCGAACGCTAAGCCGCTAAAATCCTAAAACGCTAAGCCGCTAAAACACTAAAACGCTAAGCCGCTAAAACACTAAATCGCTAAAAGCCTCAACGCTAATTCGCTAAAACACTAAAACACTAAGCCGCTAAAACACTAAAACACTAAGCCGCTAAAACGCTAAATCGCTAAAATCCTAAAACGCATTCGCTACAATCCTAAAACGCTAAATCGCTAAAATCCTACAAAAATCCTAAAACACAAATTCGCTAACATCCTAAAGCGCTATAAGCCGCGAATATCCGGCCCTTTGCGGCGGCACGGCGTTGCGGCGTCGCGTTCACGCGAGTTTTAACTTGACTGTTGGATGGCAACGGCTGCGGGGAAGACCTTGCGGACGCGGCACGTTTGCGACATGCGATCAGCTTGCAACAACGACGAACTCGACGATTAAGGCTCGCCCCTACATTCCCGGGTCTGTCCCTGGATACAGCCGACAGCACTGTCATATGTGTCGCTGACATTCGCTAAGGACGTGGCTTCTTTCTGCTCCGCCAACGGATGCTCCCACAGAGGTATCTTAAAGCACTGCATGGCAGCGGCCGGGAGCGGCGCACCGCTCCGAGGCTTGTGAGACGTTATACATATATATACATTTCCAGATGCGCTCCTTGCGTGGTGATGGATACTACGTGCACTTCGTGCGATCCTCTACGCATCAGTAGCTGCCAGCACTCTAGACTTGCAGAAGCTGCTGACAGTATATTGCACATGTCAAACAGCAGGCGTGAAGTGCTCGGGGGTCAACAAGCTGGCAAGCAGATAGGCATCGTCGGTGCGGACTCTGCTGATGGCGACGTACCCAGCGGCACGCATGTGCTTCACATCAAGCCAGACGGTGACATGTGGCAGCTCCGCGCCTTGAAGCTTGTGGATCGTGCACGCGTACCCCGCCCGGATCGGGTAGGCCGTGACGGTGCCACAGTCCTCGACAAACTCCGTGACGGGGTAAACCGCCAGGTGTTTTCCAGTTTGCGTGAGCACGCGGAGGCAACCCGAGGGCCGATGGAAGGATTGCACGACTGCGGCCATGCCGTTGACGAAGTCGCCGGGCTTGTCCAGGTTCCTGGTCAAGTGGAGTTTGAGGCCTGCGAACAAAGCGAGTGGCTGCGGCCGTGGCGGGCAACCAGATTTGAGCTTGCCGTCGAGCAAGTAGTTGTCCACGTTGGATTCCCAGTCCGTGTCTACGGTCCCCAACGACTTCTTGCCACGGTCGGAGAAGAGCACTTGCACGCTCATTAACGAGCGCTGCAGCTCGGCGGGTGCAAGTGGCCACCACCGTGTCAGGATGGTCGCGGTGGAGGCGGAGCACGTCGTAAGCTGCGGGCTCGTTTTTCTGGCTCCATGCCTTATGCCAACGGCAGATGTCGCGCAGCTGCTGTTCCGTGGGTTGATTCAAACGCAGTAGGCGGAGCTTGGCCATTAAGGCGGGATCCTGGCAGCGCCACATTTGCCACAAGTCGACCTTGAAGACATGCGGCCACCTGGCACTGTCTTTGGCGTTGGTGGGCTCCACGCCGGGAAGCTGATGGAAGTCTCCGATAAACACCAATGCAGGCATCCGACTTGCCGCGTCCCAGAGTTTCAGAATGCGGTTGAAGTCGTGCTTGGAAAGTTGTGAGACTTCGTCCACGACGACCAAGTCGTAGGTAGAAAGCAAGTCCAGGAGATGCAAGGCGTCCTGAGATGATTGCCAGAGGCCGAAGGCACCGGAGCAGGTGTCGACGTCGCAGGTCAGGAAGCGGCCACGGACACGGGCGGCTTGCTGGCCTGTCGGCAAGGCGTACAGGACACGGCCGCCGCGCCGCAGGGTCCGTCGAACGCAAACGTCCACGGCTGTCGTCTTCCCGGTGCCGGGCGGACCGATGCCCGCGATAACAGTGCTGTGCTTCCAGGATTCTTGCCGCTTTTCCTCAGCTCGCTCGTCGTCATCCTCCTCCGCGCGGTGGGCGAGCGAGCGGTCCACGGCCTGGTTGACTTTGCGCTGTAGACGCGCTTGTTCTGGATTCCACTGCATCTTTGCGTCAGCATCCTCGCCCTCATCCTCGTCGTCCAGGAGGCCACCCCTTCGTAGCGCCGCCCGCTCGTCGGCCGCCGTCGGCAGCCGCAAACCCCCATGGACGCATTGCTCGACCAGGTAGAGGTTGGCCCGCAGCATGGCCAATAAGGTCTCGATCTTTGCGTTGCAGGAAGAGGTAGGAGGCGGGCACGGCTGCCGCAATCGCAGGGTCGAGCAGATCCTCATGCTGTCGGAAAGGAACGTGGAGGGTCATGCATTGCCCGAAGAACTTATCGTTGGACATTGCAAGCACATCCGCGGCGATGAGCTTCTCGCCGTTCACACTGCAGGTTCGCGCGAAGTCTGGCAGCGATTGTTTCGTCTGCTGCAGGGTCACGAGCCGCTTATGACGCAGTTGCACCCAGCGGGCGATCTTGCCATCGGCATTGGACTTACGGAGCCACTCCAGAAAGGTCATGTCGTCCCCACGCCACTGTGACTTTTCGTAGAGCTCCACGAGCTTGTTCTTCTCCGCGCCCGGGGTGGGTAGTGGGACGCGCAGCGACACCATCGTGCCACTGTACTGACATGGCGGGGCCAAGCGACCGCCGATGTACAGCCACATCTCCGGCTCGCACGGATGATACTCGAACAAAACCTTGCGAGCGACGGCGTTGCCGGAGATGTCGTCGCAGAGCCAGTCTTGTGCGAAGGAGTCGCTGAACTTGGCGTTGTAGGTGGCGCAGTACTTCATGCTGTTGGCCCGCCTGTCACAGTGCAGGACGTCCTGGTGACACTTGGTAATCTCCAGGGTCTCCTTGAAGAAGGCGCGATGGCCGGCAGCTTTGTCTGCGCCGGTGTGCTGCAGTCGCACTCGCCCGAGCTCCTCGTCCCAGCGGCTTTCTTCGAGTTCCACCGGCCAACCACTGTCGTCCCGCCCATGCGGGCGACCCAGCATGTAGCCCCTGAGGGCTGGCTGGTCACATGCCGGAACGGTGGCCATCATCTGATCAGCAAGTCTGGCACGGGCGAAGTGACATCCGAAGTTCAAGCTGTGACAATGGACCCGGCCGCTGCCATGGTATCCCTGAGTAGGCAGCTTTCGCTGACCGTCCTGGAATTCGAGTCGAAAGAAAAAAATTTACGGGCGGCTGCAGGGTCGTAGTGGCCGTCGGATCGGCCAAGATGTGGTCGGACCAGCCTGGGTGTTTGCGCTCCGCCGCCGCGTCTGTTTTGACCTGTGCATTGTGGCCGGTGTACAAACCCATCTCCAGCTGGGCGAAGACATGCGCGGTGTGGAGGGTTTCCGGGCCCGCCAAGCCCATGCGGCCCAGATCGGCCTTCTGCATTTCGTCCAGGACCCAGGTGTGATACGGGAAGGACCATTCCCAAGGAGCCATGGTTTTGAATAGGACAGGGAAACCGCACTGGCGCTGCATGTCCAGCAGCGCCTGGTGTCGCGTCTGCCAGTAGAGCGGCGAGTCGGACTCGGTCTGAAGCGCCAAACGCAGCGGCAGTCCTTTGGCGACATTCTTGGTCGCCCCGAGCTTAGACCAGAGCAGCAAGTCGTACACGAAGCTGAGGAGCTCGAAATTGGTGCTGTACCCGATTATGGGGCCGAGCGCTTTCCGCATGAAGGAGAACTTGACACTCGTCCGGCCAGCCTGGACGTTCTCCTCGCTGGCATCCTCGTCATGCATCTCCAGGAACGTCCTCTTCCGCCCGCGAGCAGGTCTACGGCCCACGACTTCTGCGACGTCCCGGTTTTCCTCTCGCCGCAGACGACGAACGTCGCTCAGTCGAACGTAGGTTTCCATCATGTCATTCCTCCAGTACAAATGTGGCCACAAGCAGCACTCAAGTCCTTCATTCTCGTTGAAAGAGAGCAGGCGGCGACGTTGCTGCTCGGTCGCCCCAGGGTGTTTCCGCAAGAAGCGGCGGTGTGCCTCGATGCAATCGCGACAGATCGAAGCGTGCGCCTGCAAAGAACTCGTGCGACAGTCTACAGCATGCAGTCACGTCAATTGACGGTGCAGACGACGAACGTACTCGGGACAGAGCCTGTGCATGGACGCCGGAACAAACGCGAGGTGAGGAACAGCTGCGGAGTTCTTGATGGAACGGGGTAGACAGGGCTCCCCTATGTCTGCAGCCAAGCCTCTTAGGCCCTGTGCGTTCGCTGTTGACAAAGACTTGTGAGCAGGGACAACAAACTTGCTTGAAACGTCAGCACGCCATCAATGCCGTATGCATGCGCAGTGGTGATGCACGAGATCTATGACATTGACCAAAGAATTCCAAGGATTTTCCACGGCGGTGGATCGGATGGCGGTTATCACAGTGGTTCCAGATATCTTCCATTAAATTCTCATACACAACTTCCCAAAAATATTCGCTCTCAAACATCTGCGCGTAGGTTAAGTTGCATCCTTCGGCTACAACTTAACTTCCGCGCGATGCAAAACCGATCCGAATCTTGGTATCTGGATCGTCTTGCTCGTGCTTGTTAAACTTTTGAATGATAAAAAATGTAAAAAGAAAATGAACCTGAATACACAACGAACCTCGGGTGGGTCGGGTGGGAAACAAGCAGCCGCGCGTCAGGCTTGGCACACCCTAAACCCTAAACCCCTAAACCCCTAAACCCTAAACCCCTAAACCCCTAAACCCCTAAACCCCTAAACCCTAAACCATCAACCCTCAACCCTAAACCGCTAAACCCCTAAACCATCAACCCTAAACCCCTAAACCCCTAAACCCTAAACCCCTAAACCCCTAAACCCCTAAACCCCTAAACCCTAAACCCCTAAACCCTCAACCCTAAACCCCTAAACCCCTAAACCATCAACCCTAAACCCCTAAACCCCTAAACCCTAAACCATCAACCCTAAACCCCTAAACCCCTAAACCCCTAAACCCTAAACCATCAACCCTCAACCCCTAAACCCCTAAACCCTAAACCCTAAACCCCTAAACCCCTAAACCCTAAACCCCTAAACCCCTAAACCCCTAAACCCCTAAACCCTAAACCATCAACCCTCAACCCTAAACCCCTAAACCCCTAAACCATCAACCCTAAACCCCTAAACCCCTAAACCCCTAAACCCTAAACCCCTAAACCCCTAAACCCCTAAACCCTAAACCCCTAAACCCCTAAACCCCTAAACCCTAAACCATCAACCCTCAACCCTAAACCCCTAAACCCCTAAACCATCAACCCTAAACCCCTAAACCCCTAAACCCTAAACCCCTAAACCCCTAAACCCCTAAACCCCTAAACCCTAAACCCCTAAACCCCTAAACCCCTAAACCCCTAAACCCTAAACCATCAACCCTCAACCCTAAACCCCTAAACCCTAACCCCTAAAAACCCTAAACCCCTAAACCCCTAAAACCCTCAACCCTCAACCCTAAACCCCTAAACCCCTAAACCATCAACCCTAAACCCTAAACCCCCCTAAACCCCTAAACCCCTAAACCCCTAAACCTAAACCCTAAACCCCCTAACCCCTACCCCTAAACCCTAACCATCAACCCTAACCCTAAACCCCTAAAAACCCTAAACCCCTAAAACCCCTAAAAACCCCTAAACCCCTAAACCCTAAACCCCTAAACCCTAAAACCCTAAACCCCTAAACCCTAAACCCCTAAACCCCTAAACCCCTAAACCCCTAAACCCCTAAACCCTAAACCATCAACCCTCAACCCTAAACCCCTAAACCCCTAAACCATCAACCCTAAACCCCTAAACCCTTAAACCCTAAACCATCAACCCTCAACCCTAAACCCCTAAACCCCTAAACCATCAACCCTAAACCCCTAAACCCCTAAACCCTAAACCATCAACCCTCAACCCTAAACCCCTAAACCCCTAAACCATCAACCCTAAACCCCTAAACCCCTAAACCCTAAACCATCAACCCTCAACCCCCTGGTGTTGCTCAGAGCCCGAGCCTAATCTCGAGGCCAACGCTCCCGAGAGACGGCGAGCCAGACTTGGGGTCTCGCCTGCTTTGGGCTCCTAGGGTTTTGTAAGGGTTCCTTTAAAGGGATCTATAAGGGTCCTATAAGGGATCTATAGGGCTTTAGGGTTTAGGGGCTCAGGGGTGTAGGGGGTCAGGGGTTCAGGGGTTTTGGGTTTAAGGGTTTAGGGTGTAGTGCTTGAGGATTTAGGGTTGCCGAGATAGTGGGTTGCAGAGTTGCATAATATATGGGTAGGATGTTCAAGTACTTGGAGCCCCTAGGGTTTTCAGCCTTACACCCCAGACTAACCCGCACATAGCCAGAGTCTTCTGCCATGTGCAGGCCCTGTCCCCGAAGCATCGCATTTCAGCATTTCATAGCATAGGAGTTGAAATCATGTGGAACAGTATCCCTTACTAACAGTCCCTGTAGTATCGTATACTGTATGCCCAGGTCCGTTTTTCTAATGGGTAAGGCATATCAAGACCCCCATGCTCTGGGGCTCTACGATACTTGTGGTCTCGGAGTGTTAAGTACTAGGCCGAGTTAGAATTGGACCATGCAACTCGAGGGTCAAATCCTTATCCGTTAAGCTCAAAAGCCTAAGCCCCCACACCACAAAACCCGAACATCCTCCCCAACTGTCAATCAGCGTGGAGGCATGAGCTCCATGAGAAACAACTCCCCACTCCTCTGAAGTTCGAGGTTCAAGGGTTACTACACGCTTTAGCTCTCTTGCCACAGACTAGCAGCAGCCAGGTTTGCCTTGGTCGTCATCTTGGTTGTCGCCGTAGCCAGAGTCGTAATTCTTGCTGTTGCTGCAGCTGTTGATGTTGCTGCTGCGGCTGTTTCTGCTTCGGCTGCTGACGTGACACCGCATTGCATCGCATTGCCTTACCTTGACCTGCCTTGCCCTACCCCGCCTTACCTTGCCTCCTGGCCTTACCAGGCCTCACTTGCATATTCATCCTGTATTTGCTTGTAGAGATTCACTTTCCCGACATACATAGGTACATCTATTTATAAGCATATGTATATACATATGTGTGTATATATATAGAGATGTAGGTATGCATGTGTGTGTGTAAGCGAATGTATACATAACTTTGTATGTGTGTATACAGGTTAAACATAAACATATGTACATGCATGTGTGTATGTGCACATATGTGTGTATATATATATGTATGTATACATAGTTTTCATATAGATGCACGTATATACATTGTGCACAACATGTATACAATAGGCACAGACACATACATGTGCAGTAAATCACAAGACATTGTACTACGACTACAACGTAGGTATCAGAAATATAGTATAACTTCATATGGCACGACATAACATAATGTAGTCATAGCATAATACGATATATTACAACCCGTAATACACCATACTACGCTATACAACAAAATGTAGAATGCCAGAGCATGAACTGCTGTAGTATAGCTTACAATGCAATTTAGTATGTCTTAACAGACTAGTAATACACCATACGTAGCGTACTGTATTAACATACAATAAATATGGCGCAATAGTCAGTTCACAGTGTAATATCACAAAATGCAAAATAGCAACATATCATTGTTTAATAAATACAAATCGAAGTACAACCACATCTGTAGAGATATAGGGTTTCACATAGAAGTGCAACCATACCTATGGAGAGAGATGGGTTACATATACTGTATGGCGTCAGCTGAACATGCAATCATGCACATGCTCATTTACATCCAAGAACTCCACGCAGCTTTCTGCCTCGTTTCTCTTCTCTTTCGCCGAGGAGGCAGTTCCTTAAGTAGTAGAGCCTATATCCTAAGCCTTAAACCCGAGATCCTAAACTAGGATGCCCAGTAATACCCTTATTCCCTTTTTGCAGTCCTAGGTTCCTTGTAAAGTTACCCAATACCAAAAAGAGAGGCCTTTTTATTCTTAGGTTGCTGGGTATCCTAGAAGCCTTAAACCCGAGATCCTAAACCCCCAGACCGAGGACGAAGTTCTGGCAGATTGGGAAAGACAAGACTCCAGGAGCCCGCGGTCTTCGATCACGACGCCTGGATTTCAGTAAGGTTTAGGGTTTAGGGTCTGGTTTAGAGGTTTCGTACATGCTGGTCACATGCTGTTACTTGACTGTGTTGTTTGATCTACGAACCTAGGAAAGAATTCTGAAAGTCAGAGGCAGGCCCGCCGACTGATATAGTCATCGCCACCATCAGCACAGCCACCAAAAGTAATTCCATCGTCATGGTTGCATTTGCACACATGCGTAAGAGCATGTGATTGTCCTCAGTGTCGTCCTTGTCAACAGCAACGTCACCGTCAAGGATATCATGGCCATCACCGGTATTTCATCACTTTGTTCGGTATTACGACGTCTGCTATGTCGGGAATTGCTGTAGATGGTGTTGTGACTCGACACTGTCTATCTGCAGACGTCACATCCAGACACACTGCACCGAGGACGTGGACCATGCCACGTGGCCTTCCGCGTGGTCACATGGCCCCGCCCAATGCCATCCTTCATGCGAAGCATGAAAAGAATATTCAAAGCTTTCTGCAGGAGTCCTGAGCACTAGTTTGCGACTAAATGTACGACTCCAACTTGGAGGTTCTGAACCCTGAACCCTAGGCCTGTAAATGAACGGTTTCGTCGTGCTGGCGGTATTGATGTTGGGTCTCCTTGTGATTTTCCTGGGTGAGGAACTGGCGGTGGGACGATTCGTAGGCTTTCCTGGGCTATAGCCTCCACTTCTATGGTGTAGTTGAACTTCAGGATCAGGTCGCCCGAGAAATCCCAAGTCCATAAATGTAAGGCCGACCAAAGACTTAGAGGATCATGGGACTGATATAGTAGCTCGCGTTATACAGTTATACATCAGGTAACATAGTTATAATCACATCTAAGCCCAATGAGGCCCAATTAGGGAACTTATAACCCTACTTACTAAGTCCCATGATGCTCCAATTAGCCCTACACACCCTCTAAGTGGCCCTGCAACAGGCACTTGCCGCTTTTGGCATCCGACGTCTTGATAGAAGTCATGAGCCCGAACGAACCCTAAACCCCGACACCCTGAGAGCGGTTGCAAAAGAGACCCCAAGAACCCCTAAACCCTAAACCCTAAACCCTGGTGCAGGAAGTCACCCTGAACCCGAACAAGCTGACTCTTGCTGTCGACTTCCGGCGCAAACGCGAAGGAGCCTTGGTGAGAGGAAGCCCCTAAACCCGAAACGGGCTTGGGGTTTCGGGTTTAGAGTTTAGGCAATTGGTGCTCTGGGAGAAGGTTTGCAGATTGACTGCTCCCCTCCGTATAAACGCAGGCTCAGGGTGCGCGGGTTCAGGGTTCTTGAAGCTTTTGGTGGCCATGCATCCGGATTCCAAAGTGTTTCGGTCGTACAAGACAGATGCCGGAGAGACCGTGTGAGGTCAGCTTTTGCTTTCCACGGTTTCGCGGAAGCTTCGTCAAACAACCAAAGAAGCAACTGTTGCTTCCCTAAACCCGACACCCTAAACCTTCACCCCTAAACCCAAACCTTAAAAACCCCTAATCGAGCATGCGAGGACTCTAGAAGCTAAAGCCGGGGCAGCGGTGCTGGTTGCTTTCTCAGCAGTCTTCGAAAGCCGAGCACAAGGAGGAAGGAGGGGAGGGTTTAGGGTTTCTAAAGCTCCTAACCCCTAAACCGGGTTTTAGGGGTTAGGGTTTAGGGAACCCTAAACCCTACATAAGCCCTGCTAGTAGTTGAGTGGATACACTTTACACGTTTTGGGATAATATTACCCACTACAAAACTAAAAGTGTACACTTTCGAGGCCTTATGAACTCAGCAACTAAAGGTCAGTCAGTAAGAGTTTCAAGTGTACGTAGGCTACAGGGTTTACGGCTCCCCGGCCTCCCAGCCCTGCATCCCTGAAGCCCTAAAACACCTTAAAGGCCCTTACCCTTTAAGGGTTCCTCTAAGGGTTACGAAAAGGGCTCGATAAGGGTTAAGGGTTACTTAAGGGTTCCTTTAAGACCCAAACCCTGAACTTGAAAACTCTGAGCTTAAGCCGTAACCCAAATGTAGCCTCTCAGAGGGTCTTCTGGCCCGATCCGCTGGAGTTGGACTGGAAAGCTCGGGCTTTAAGGCGGAGCCTAATAGAGAGCTGTAAGTTTTCAGGAATTCCCTTCTAGTCCCTCCGTATACTCGGAAGTGCCCATCCCCCTAAACACAGACCCCGAATTGCACCAAGCAACATTGCTATTTCCTTTAAGACCCTTGTATTTCAGCCCTGTGAAACTACAATAAAATACCAGAACACTCTAGCATTCGCTTCTACAGCCCTGAACCAGAAACGGAGAACCTGATTCTACCTGTCACGGCCCCTGCAGTAGCTAAGGAGATTCAGCATGGATCAAGACATAGATTCTCCAAGTGTACAGGGCTGTATAAGAGCCTGTCGGGAGTTGAGTGCATTCTAGGATTTGATAGGGGTTTATTTCAACTTAGAGTCCTATAAAAGCTGTACAGTGTTTTATAAAGAGCTTTGTACACGTGTTAAAGTTTTTTGCAAAAAGGTGTTCATTGGGATTGTAAGCAGGAAGGGCGACATGATTTACGGCTTTCAGGTTTGTGAGCTGCATGCTTCGCGGTGGAGTATTTCTGCTCTATGCAATCCAAGGAGGGTCATGGTCGACCTAAGCCGCAAGCCCTAAACCGCTGCTAGACCCTTGACCTATGCCCTAAAACCCTGAACATCTCTGAACTCTAGAAAGCAGGAAGTGCTCGGACGTGACTTCTGAGCCGTCTCTTGGCCCCAAGCAATGTGGCACATTTGGAGAGTTGCCGAGACAAGTCCTGTCGTACCCGATGCACTCCACGTGTACTACTGCAATCAAGCCTACCAAAATATGCACACATACATACCTACCTACCTATGCACCCACCTATATAGAGACAGAGAGAGGGTTTCAATTTGTTCCTTTGTCTAAATACAGACCCTACATGAGTGCACACTCGGGATTTATGATGGCAGGGTTTGAATTTCAGAGTTCAAAGCACCTGGCCGAGTCGGACCCCGGACTCCTGTACTATAGGGGCCAGAAGAATGGAGTACTATGGAAAAAGGTTTCTGGGTGAATAGGGTTTAGGGTTTAGGGTTTATTGGTTCCTTCATGTATCTGTAACTACACTGGGCCCGAACACAGCGGAATCGAATCCTTAAGGCCCTTATACTGCTCTCCTTGCAGGGTGTTGCATGACTTTGCAGTTTACGGTTCTTAGCTTAGTTGTTCAGGCCCATTATTGTAGAAGCCCAAAAGTTGGATGCCCAATAGCCTCAATCCTTAAGAGTAATGTATAAGGAATCCAAGCACTGTTTGACCTTAATCCGGTTTCCAAATTTATGGGGTTTACTGTATATTGGGTGCTGTGCAGAATGTCCTTATCGGATCGGCCAGATGCTGCAGCTGGACACCAAGTTTCTCAACCCTAAACCCCTAAACCCCTAAACCCTAAACCCTAACATGGGGCTGCTTGTTTTCTTGTTGGGGATACGACGGTCCGAGACCTAGACCCTGGAAGCCTAAGGTTTAGGGTTTAGGCTAAGATAGTGAACGGAGGAACTTGAATCTTGTTGGCCTTGAATATTAGCTCTATCTTCGAAAATTTGAACTTGTCGGGGCCCGGTTGTTGAAGAAGAGAGTAGGGTTGGCCTAAACCTTGTAACTGTTGCAGGGTTCAGGAATTAGGGATGCCGGTCGCCGAATCGAACCCCAAGTGGGCCAGGTAGAGACTCGTAAGCATCGACGATGTCAGCGCTACTTAGTGTCGTAAGTAGAACACAACGGGTGCATATCCATCTGCCTATCTATCTAGCTACAGTACCTGTTTATCAGTCTACCTATCTAATTAGATGTATCGATCTGGTTATCGGTCTGTCTGTGTAGATTTGTTGTGCTTTACTTAGTTGTTGATTTCTTTTAATCCAATACAGACATGCGCACACACACGCACTCACATGTGCGCACACGCACACAGAGACACTAGTGCGTGTTTGTGTGCGCATATGTAGATACATGTGCGTGTGTATATATATATATGTATATACATATATATATATATGCATATTTATATACACACATGTATGGGTGTGGTGTACTAAACAGGGCCTGTCTCTCTCTCGCTCTCTCTCTCTCTCTCTCTCTCTCTCTCTCTCTCTCTCTCTCTCTCTCTCTCCCTCTCTCTCCCCTTTATGTATACATATATGTATGTCTATACAGATAGATAGATGAATACTAGTGCACGTACATGCATACAGACTTGTTACGTATGTATGCCTATAGCGTGTACGTGTATTATATATATATATATATATATGTATGTGTATATACATATATATATATAATATTTATATATATATATATGTATACATACATACAGGTACATACATACATACATACATACAGAAATGCAGAATACATACATACATACGTACATACATGCATATACACACAGAGAAAGAAAGAACGGTTGATAGGTAGATGGATGGATACTTGATGGGTAAATATAGGAGTATAGGTACAGGTATAAGCATCTTTAGAATGCTAGGTGGGTCCGTATATCGATGGGTTGATTGTTTGATTGACCGACGGAGAGATATAGATAGGTCGCTGGAGCAATAGATACATGGATAAACAGCGGAGGGAAAGAGAGAGAGAGAGAGAGAGAGAGAGAGAGAGAGAGAGAGAGAGAGAGAGAGAGAGAGAGAGAGAGAGAGCGCGACAGCGAGAGCGAGAGCGAGTGCGAGTGCGGGGGAGGTAGTTAGATAGATCGATAGACCGATAGTTAGATGGATGAATGGATGGATGATGGATGGGTCGATAGACAGATAAACAGATCGTTTTTTTGGTTTTGTTCGTTTGTCCTCAAGACCATCCTCGAGGCAGAAAGCTGAGCGAAGACATGTGTGTTCAGGTTATACTCAACGACTTCGGCCTAACTTTACGGCTTCTGGAGCTCAAGGCCTTTAGGCCTTCGGGTTTTAAGAGTTTCGCACTTGGCCTCGCCTTCGTTTGAATCTTATGCTACACCCCTTGCTTCCTGCTCCGACACCAGGCCCCCAAACGGTGGTCTGCAGGAAAACATCGCATGTCCAGCGTTCGTCTAGATGGTTGTGAATGCAACTCCAATGCAGTTGCGTACAGCCGGAATCCAGAGCTGCATGAAGCCTAGCTGCTCATGCAGTTCTCTGCATAGAGATCAAAACCTTTTTTTGCCAGCCTATTTCACGAGTCTAGGCTGAGCGGAACACAGGTTGCACGTTGACCATATTCACATGGATTGTGTAAGCCCGAAACCCTGAGCCCTGAAAGCTCAAGCTTCTTGTGTGTTTTGTTTGGGTCACTCCCTGTCCTGAGCCGAGGTGGAAGGTCAGGGCTTTGAGTATTCATGCTTAGTATAGGGGCCTTAAGAATCAGAATAGGGTTTCGGGGCCCATCATAATACTATACTTATAATCAGGAACTTCCAAAATAGTAGTGGTAATTATGTAGGTTCCTATAGTAGGGTATTCTGAGTCTCAAGCTTCGGCATTAGCACTCCAGTTCGTCGCGCATGTGCTTGGCATGCGTTTGGCGGGCTTGCCTCGCTGTGAACCGCGTTGAATTTCTCGATCGTTTGGGGCTTCGGCATGGCATGATGTGGACGAGCCGGATGATAACACGAACCCTTAAACCCTAAAGCACCAAACCTCAAGCCTCAACCTGCTACTGAACCACACGTGATCTCTCATGTTGCGACCGTACACCATGAGCAAGTACCTCAAAACTCAAGCCCTCTGGATCTAAAGTTTAGGGTCCTGATGTCCCCCGACTCCAAAGAAGATGCATTCGGCGACAAGCCCTGCATTCCTAGCACTACTGTTGATGATATAAACCCTGCATTACCTTGAGGACCCTATAAGCTATGGGAGTTATTGTATATTCACATTGCGCTCGCGAAGTCGGTTTTGTAACTGCGCATCAGCCGATAAGCCGATAAGCCGAGCAGCCGAGCAGCCAGTCTTGACCTGGAGTGCAAGCCGTCCAGGTGATCAGCCGATCGGCTGATCGGCTTATCGGCTGATCGGCTGATCGGCTTATCGGCTGATCGGCTGATCGGCTTATCGGCTGATCGGCTGATCGGCTTATCGGCTTATCGGCTGATCGTGATGACATCCATGGTCTATGGGCAAAAGAGCTCCCATGTCCAACGTCTGATGACGTCCATGGTCTACTGCGATTCAGGAACGATCCATGCCCGAAACCTAAGGACGTCGTGGTCTACTGCGATTCGGGAATAGAGCATCCATGCCCAAAACCTAATGGCGTCCGTGGTCTACTGCGATGTGGGAACAGAGCATCCATGCCCAAAGCCTAATGACGTCCGTGGTCTTCTGCGATGTGGGAAAAGAGCTTTCTTGTTCAAAGCCTGATGACGTCCATGGTCTAGTGCGATTCGGGAACATATCACACCATGCCCAAAACCTAATGACGTCCGCGGTCTAGTCTAGTGCGATTTGGGAACAGAGCATCCATGCCCATTTCCTAATGACGTCCGTGGTCTACTGCGATGTGGGAAACGAGCTCTCATGTTCAAAACCTAATGACGTCTATGGTCTACTGCTCTTTGGAAAAAGAGCTCCCATGTCCAACGCCTGATGACGTTCATGGTCTACTGCGATGTGGACAGAGCATCCATGGCCAAAACCTAATGACGTCCGTGATCTACCGCGATTTGGGAACAGAGCTCCCACGTCCAATCGGCTTATCGGCTGATCGGCTTATCGGCTGATCGGCTTTTCGGCTTATCGGCTTGTCGGCTGATCGGCTTATCGGCTGATCGGCGTAGCACGGTTTGGCGCCCAGATCCCACGCACACTGTATACTCATATTATTATGGGTTATGCAGGATTTATTTCAGCAACCGTAGAACGAACCAATCCCGGCACGACTTACACGTGAAGTTTGTGTTCAGCTTCGCACATATTGCGGAATGTACTCCCCTCTTCTGATCATTCCCAGCCTCGATATGGCAAAACGTACCCCCTCTTCTGATAATTCACAACCTGTCAGTATACCTAGACCCCCTAACTACCCTCTAATATACCCCAAATATCCACCACTAAGGGCCATAAGGGCTCCATTGAAGGGCCATTGGGGGGTCCTGGTAGGTTTTGTTCACAGCTCATCGCAAACTTGCATGTTGGTGTATCGAAGCTGAGGGCTTGCGGCTTAGGGTTTAGGGTTTAGGGTTCGAAGTTGGTTGGTTTAGGGTTTATAGGGTCTCTTAGCTTGCAGACCAGGGTCTCCATCCGGCTCAAGAGAGCCTGAGACTAGTTTATTTTCGAAAGGCTTGGGCCCATAAAACGAT